ATCGCGGCAGCTGTGAGAGCGCGCGTAACACCCTGCAATCTCTGCCGGAAGAGAAACGTGCTTGAGCCGACGCTTTATTGCACGGATTGCGATTTTTACATGTCGCGCTTTCGACCGACTAACAAAGCCACTTGAGCCGTTCATTAAGCCGATTGAAAGGCTTGCCGGTTTCATCGAATGTCAAATTTCTTTGACGAAGAAATAGCATTATCCTTTCCTTGTAATTGATTGTTGTGTGAACAGATAATACGCCATTGACGCTTGCGAGAGTCTTTACATTTTTTACAGATGCTTTAGTATTATATTATAATCCAAATTAACTGTAGTGCATATAATTGCAAAAATATAACTAAATAAAATTAGATATAATACTCAGTTTTTGCATGCTTGAAATTATTTGCATGTAACTTGTTAAATCTTTAGTTAATCGAGAAATTAGATTTCGCAAAATAAGATGTAAAATTAAGTATAATATTCTACTAACATTTTAAATGACATTCGATGAAATATTAAATATAAATATTATTCATACTTGTATAAATATTAGATGATATTTGATTAGAGACCCTTATCGTGCAGCTATAAATAATGCTCGTGTAAAATATTAGCGATAATGTTATTTTCTATCATTTATATTAAGTATAAAAAACCTGCATGTACTTAACTCGTCATTTTACATATTTTGATGTGCTTAATGAATTAGATTATTATTGTAACGCGTAGACTCTAGCATAACTTTAAAAGATCTGTTAGATATCTTAATATTTTATAAAACAGGAAACTTATCAACGTATCTAAAGTACAGCATTGTTCAAATCCATAGCAGTTTTATTTATATATAAATTGATTTTAATTATACTTCTTAAGATAAGCAAAACCAATATTTTATATCATAACTAAGCGACCTAAAGTTCTATTTCATTTTCTGTATTTACATGCTCCCTGTGCATATCGTATTTTGTTGAGAAGATGAGAAGTGGAATTGTGATACTAGCCATGCTACGTAGAACTTATCTCTAGAAACCATATTGCAAATTAGAGAGAAGAGCTAAGTAGGAAGCAGACGAAACTTGATCTCTGAGACTGCGTGAAGTTTATTTTATGTTAACAATTTTCGAAGTAAATGCGTATTAACATGTATTACGTTACGTTGTATTACCTTCCAAGTGCTAGTTCAATGTACAAATGTTTTATACTTTTTGTATGAGTATTTTGTTTTAAAAATACTTTACTTTTATTGTGACATAATAAAGAAACCTTACAATATACTTCGTGTTTTTAATTGATAGCTTAGTTAATACTAGTACAAGCCTGTACATTTTTATAATTAATTTTACATATATTTTATTAAAATTAAAATAAAAAATATCTATTTTATTTTTTATATCTTTTAATTTTTAATGTGCTATCCACATATTTCTCATTATATAGCAAAATTACATTTAATTGTGAAATTGTAAATAAAATAATTTCAATTTTTGTTTTGCGTTAATAATTCTGGTTCAAAGAGTTCTGTTAAAAAAAAAATACATATCAACAGTCTATCTTGTACAAAAAAAGGAGAATATAATGAACGCGCGGGTAGGCGTTCTCATTGACCGACGCGTCGGTAAGTAGAATAGCGTCGGTAGATGTCGCCCGTATTACTATCGGAACGGCAATAGTGAGCGCTCTCGCTTACATCGTGTTGTTTGCCGCATGCGCCACGTCAGCTGATCGGCGCTGCCGATTTTGTCGCGAGATGTCAATCTTCGCACGCAGGTGGTGCTCGTATTCGTAATGGCGTATGACGGCTGAAGGGCCACGGGCGAAACGCGCACGGGTGTTTGAGTTTTCGCGGATACGCAACATCGGGGTGGTGATTAAGTGCCGCGGCGCGTTGTACGTGTGTCGGGCGTTCGCGGTAAGATGACCACGTCGACTGGTGTGCTGCCGTCGTATCAGCGCTTCGCGAACGGCGTGCCGGTGCCGTTGTTCTCGAGACGGTCCTTTCGTCCGCGCGAGAAGTACCTGATACTCCTAGTATTTCTGACGTTCGGCATCGTGTGCTTCGGCGCGTTCTTCTTCCTGCCCGATTTTCGCACGGGTGGTGCCGCCGTGAACAGTGTCTACCGCGTGTACCAACACATGCAGAAGGCCGGACCAGACCTGCTGCTGCCGGTGCCACCGCGCGCCTCTAACGAGATCAAGGGTTCGCGCTCGTCCGCGGGTGGACATCCGAACGCTGTGCCGCCGGGTCACGAGGGCAGCGATCACCAGGATGTGCACCTGGTCGAGGACAAGCAGAAGTTACAGGTGCGAAATGCGCGCTCGCTCGAGTCGCCCTCATTCGACCGATCCTCTCGAACGCCTCGCCTGAAACGCGTTGTTTGTCAGTCAGGAATCGTTTTGTTTTACGCGCGTTGAATTTTCGTCGTGCGAGAGGCGTATCTTACGACGGATTTAACACTCTCGCTCCGTATTAGACGTCGTGTTTCGTTTGTTTACATACGGCCATTGTGACGTATATGGCTGACGCACGTGCGCGGACTCCGCGCGCTGTCACTTCGTTCACGATTCCTTCTCAATGAATGATAACGATCATTTGTTGATCCTGCCTATTTGTTTCACCGAGTGAACGCATGCTAAACAAATGTGCACATATTTATTGCCAAAACAATCGATCTCGTTTCAGTGCAGCATAATAAGTTAACGGTTAAGACAGATTCCTAAAACTTTTAAATATTACTTAAATTATTAATTCTTTTTTATTTTTAATGCATATATTTCATAATTAAAACATTTCACGAATATTTACCGCACATTTCAAAGCGAATTATCTCTTATTATTGTTATTCTCTTGTTATCTCATTATTATTCATTCATTTCCTCATCGCCATCATGATTTCCTTTGCTAGCTTATCTTTTTTACGATTTTACGTCATTCTACTGACACTGATAAATGTGTTGTAACTAAATTTCGTGGAACTGCTTTGAGTTGACTTTTCAGGATCGAAGTCGAATTATTGCTCATAAACGACATCATGTTAAATATCTTAATGTATGCGTTTGTATGATGTCAAGCTTCCGTTTTGTTAGCATTTTTCTCTTTTTTTTTCGACGTGAGTAGGTTACGTAAAGTCGCACCGTGATCTTGCCCTTGTAAGGCAATATGCATACAGAATATCGGTAGAAAATGTTCGAATCGCGATTAACTGAAATTATATTCCGAAATGTATTTATTTCTACATATTTTTTTTATAAATATGATAGTTAATAACTTTTGTTAGATTACCTGCAAATTTATAGAAAGAAAAAATTTTATTTGGAAACACTCTTGAATCGGATATGAATGAGTTGTTTTTATGACGTTTATATACCTCGTACAATAAATTTACGTTTTGTTTGATAAAAAAAAATCGAATTTTTTATGCAAGACATTAATTGATATAAATAAACGCGGAATTCGAATTGTATACAGTAAATGTAATTTATCTTGTTTGTAAGCGCGTGACTCGTTCCATCATTATTTCCGTTTGGCCGTTCTGTTCTTTCGTAGAAAATAATAACCAAGAATATCCACCCGTTTTACACGCATGCTGCGCTTTTTCGTCATAAATCAAACGATGTCGTCGTGGTCGATTTTCGAAAAAGCTTCGCGAGGGATCGTCGTGATTACATATAATAAAGACGAACGATGCGCGGTTAATTTGTTGCGCTGGTCGATTCTGAAATCCTGTAAATTGCATCATTCTGGCCAGTAATATTCTAATTCACTGCCCGAACCTAGAAATTATGCACAGAACGTAACGGTGCTTTTTTTCCATTTTGAGTCTTGGGATGTAGTATGATGAATTCGATAAAGACGCACATATGAATAAAGCGGAATTTGCTAACGCAACGCTATGTGAGTGTCGCAAAAGTATCCGGCGCAATAAAATAACGCTAGCGTAAAATGTAGTAGCGATTTTACGTACATCGGTGAACAAATATGGATACATAAACAGGTGTAGAGACATAAATAATTATCATAAACATGACAATTACTGAGATATGTAAAATAAATATACGGACAATATTTATATAACGATGTCCGGTGACAACGTTTTATCACGTTGAGTAAAATATGTGTTATCATCATCATGGTTATTCGATAAAACTTATCTTTATTCATCAGCAGATATTTTGTTAGGAAAGTATCGTGTCATTTAACGATCGTGTGAAAATGAAACTAATAGCAAGAATAAATAAACACGCGCGTTCTTCCGTTACGAAAGTGGTTCTCGCGAGCTTGTTTTATTTTCTTTAATAGCGACATAACGGTAAAGGCGTTCGAGAGTATGCATTTCTCCGAAGGTGAACAAGGCGAGAAAGAGCGCGCATCTGTGGAATCTAGATCGCGTACAGATGGCATGCACGATGTTTACGGAACTGCACTGATCTCCCAAGTTTAACACGGTCTTTTAAACGACATTTTCGATTAAAAAATCTTTATTGAAAATTAATAACGTATATTTATATTATTATTACATTAAACCGGTAGAGATAGCGAAATCAGTCATGGAAAATAATTCAACTCGTTAATCGCGCGTCTTAATCAGATATCGATATAAACAATTTTTCAGATTGAAATTATTTTGATCGAAATACTAAATAATTTATTTTCTATTTATTGCAATGCACATATGAATACATATATGAATTAATTATGGTTATTTCTATTAAAATAAATGAATATAAACCAGTCACATATTGCTAATAATAATTTATCTAGTATTTTCAGAATAGAGAATAAATGAAAAAAGAGCTAAATATTGGAATATTTTTTTGATACATTTATTATAAATTTCTTTCTGATTAAATGTTTTTTTTTTCTTGCTTAATAGAGAAAACAATGTTTGAATTCATCAATTTTTATTT